AGCCTGGCTCTGGGACCTGGGGCCTGACCTGTATCACCAATATCCCAGGAATGCGACCTTCCCCACCACGCCCGCCTGAGGACAACCAGCTGTGGCCTTCTGACTCTGTGGGCAGGACATGACACAGTCCAGTGTCATTTGTGAGAGTATTTCCAGGTCTAGTTGTGGCTTTGTGGCCACACAGAGGTCTTCACCCCTCCAACGAGCCCCAGCAGGAGAGGGAACCAAGGCCAGCGACCTGTGATCCAATCCCAGAGCCAAAGTGAGTTTGTCGAAGGCCCTTGGGAAAAACTGTGTTTTCCCTGGCTGGGGCTTGGCTTCCTTGCTTTAAAAGAATTCTTAGTATTTATTACAGTAAAATTAAGCACTTTCAAATTTCTGCCAGATCCCCTGGAGAAACAGGGTTTTATTAACACCAAATAAATACAATGTTTGAAGGGCAGAAGACCCAGATCCCAGTCCTTGGCCCACTACTGACTCACTGGGTGGCTTCAGGCAAATAATTTACATCAAGCAGACATCGTTTTCAATGAGCACAGAGTGGGCACTTGGTAGGGGGCCGGTGCCCTGTGAGGTCTGCGGCCAGGCTCACTGCTGAGACAAAGTCGGGGAGACAAAGCCCTCCGCTGGGCCCACTGCCTGGAGTGCTGCTTTGTGGCTGGGTTCAAGGTGGCCCTAAAATTGGTGAAATCTTGAAGCTGAAGAAAGTAGGTGCAACCTGTCATTTATAAAAGGGGGGAAGATTCACATAGCAGCTAAGAGCACAGTTTTTAGAAGCCAACTCTGTGGGTTGAAGTACATGGGTCTACCATTTATGAGTTTTAGTTTTCTCCTCTGTCAGACATGAATACATAGTGTCTACCTGTCACAGGCTGTTGTGAAGGTGAGCTGAGTTAACACATGTAAAGTAAGCACCAGGTGAGCACTGGCTATTAGCTAAAAGTTAACAAAATATTAAAATTAAGTATCATAATTGAGTGTACATGGTTTCATTTTACAAAGCAAACGTATATACAGTTTCACTTGGACCTCATGACACTCCATGAAAGATAATAAGACAATCCCTAACCTTTTCATAGCCCTTGAGATTTGCAAAACACTTTCTCTCTATTTTCTCTATATGAATAAGTTCATATTCCCATCATTCATTCTTTTACAAGTCACACTTCCTCAAAGTGACCAGGTGGACTGGAAAAACAAAAGACAAAGATAGAACGTTAAGAAAGAAAAAATAATGATCAAAAAAATAAATATCTCAAGTGACAGCACTCTAGAAACAGTTGGACAAGTGATGTTTCGACGCCGTCCATGTGCTGGTACCTTCATCTCAGACCTCTCTCCAGAATCACACCTGCACGTCCACTTAACCCACCCCCCCAACACTAAAGGACACCTCAAAGCCAACTCTGAAACGGAACTGTTGTCTTCCCAGCACTCGTAAACAAGATAATGGGCAAACTGTGATGTAGTCATTCCCAACCGGAATATTGTAACAATGTACGCCGAGGAAATGCAGCTATATCCAACAACGTGGATGAATTTTACCAATGCAATAGGAAACAAAAACACAAGCTGCAGAATACCACACCAGCTGTGACGCAATTCTTATGTGTGTAATAATACCATGAGCAGTGCACATTTATGTGATAAAATGTATGACATACTAGTTTTAAAAGCCAAGAGAACTACAAACACAAATTTCAGACTCGCGAGGGAGCCGGAGCACGACAGGAAGCAAGCACCACAGAGAAGTCCCAAAGTGTCTGTAACGGTCAGTTCTGAAGCTAGGTGCTGGTTCACTGCAGCATGTTTTGCTTTCCTTGTGCTTTCCTGTTACCTATAACCTTTTGTGTATATCAAATAATCAGCAAATTGAAAAGGCAAAGATACTACCTATAAATATGAATTGTACTGAAAGTCAGATTTCAAACCAGCAAAGCAGTGAAGGGAAGTCAACCTTGCTAAAAATATGAACAAATTAATGTACACTAACAGAGCTGGTTACGGAATGTAATTACTTTAATGAGGAATTATGTAACAAGGATGAACACAACACAGTATTCGGTGCCTGGATCAGATGCCTAAAGGAGAATGACCAGGTTTACAGGTCAGAACAAATTTGTTTATCAGGAATCTTTTTCCTGTTTTGCTAGGCTTTCTTAAACAGAATGGACTGACGTTACTTGTTTCGTGTGATTTGTTTAGCAGGCGGACGATCCAAGGCCAAGGACGGGAACGGCTCCCAGGCCTGCCGGGTCTTGGGCCTCCAGAGGCTGGGGCTTGTCCAGGAGCAGCTCAGAGCTGCGCCGTAAAGGCCTGTGTGTGATTTTAGACTTACTCTACTTTTCTCCACCAGCACTGATAGCAGACAGTTTGTTGTGGGTAGACTTAAAATACTCTTTCCTCTTCCTAGAACATCTGAGATGCCATTACTGAGATGAACATGCCATCACAATCTATTCTAGGAGGAAGTGAAGAGCTTAAATCAACGCCAGGCAAGATGTGCCTTGTCGATTTATCCGTTTGAACAAGCATAAAATGAAAGGAGACCTGTGAATTTCTTGTCCTTTTCAAATAGGAGCTGGTTCTGTTGGAATGGCCAGGGAGGAGAAGACAGTTTGATTCAGGTTTGGCATGGGTTTAGGGAGAGATTCTTTGTAGCTGGTCCTAAACATTACGGTAACTTGGACTGAGTGAGTTTCCAGGGGAGAAGTCGACACATGTTGTAACAGAAGCGATTGGGTTTGGCAAGGAAGGGAATGGAAGAATCACACGAAAGCAGCGCGGTGTCCCCCCCCCCGCATGGCGAAGCTGCGCGGGCCAGGACCCCTGCCCGTGACTGCTGCCTGCCGCCTCTTTGGCCAAACGGGTTAAACAGTGCCCCTTCCACATCCGTCTTTGCCACATTCAAAAAAGTAGCATACTTAATTTCTAGTGAATTCTTAAATGAGAACTTTCTCTTCCTTCTTACTAAAAAAAATGAACAATTCAGACTAGAGAGTGAAAAACTGGAGTGCAGCAAAAATTTGGGGTCTGAGAAGGGTGAGGGGGTCCGTTTTTCAAAGGTATTAATTTTACAGCTCCAATTAGATACGACTACGCTCTCGTCATATACATACCACCCCCCCCCCTTAAATTTTGAAAAATCACATTCTTGCCTGTATCTGTCTTGCTATTTTGACCGGTCATTCCCAAATGTAAGCGGCCCTAATTTGACGCCTTCCGAAACTAAGGCGGCTCAGTCTGCTACAAAGCAGGCTTCTAATGAGTTTTTTACTGAGTGACTCTGCATTCTGGCATGGCCTTGACTTGGGTGTGAATTCCAAGGCCATTGCACTAACAATAACGGAGCTTCTAGCTCTGTTTAGGGTTGTTTTTTGTTAGGTGAAAAATATTAGAAAAGGCATAAACCTTGCCTCACAAAGTATGTACACAGACATGTGTATTTTCCGAAACTTACAAGCACAGAGGTAAGTCTTCTAGACCATACCATCTGTTTTACAGAAAAAAAATTATATTATTTAAGTCCTCAGAAATCATCGCATACTCTCACAATTACAGACAAAAATGTAAGGCTAAGTACTGAACACTGCACAGCTCTGATTTATATATTTTTTATCACATTCATTATAGTTCACTATTTCCAAGAGGAAAAATAAACTGATAAAGTGGAATACAGTATCTAGTTTCCAGTTATGAAAAGCAAATGAAATGAATTGAACTTTGACAAAAAGAAACTGAACAAAATATAAATATAAATAATACAGTTTGGGTTTCCAAAGTAGCTTTCCATGTATTACCCTGTACTTCTTTCTTTTTAAAATTATTTTACTGCTGTTCAATTACAGATATCTGCATTTCCCCCCACCCCAGCCAAGCCCACCTCCCTCTCTTGTTTCCACCCCTACCCCTTGGGTTTTTTTTTCTTTTATTTTTTTTTTCCGAGAGAGAGAGAGAGAGAGAGAGAGAGAGAGAGAGAGAGAGAGAGAGAGAGAAGGAGAAAGAGTGGGAAAGAACTATCAATGTATGGTTGCCTCTTGTGTGTCCCCTGCCGGGAACTGGCCTGCAACCCAGGCATGTGCCCTGACTGGGAATCGAACCGCAATACTCTGGTTCGCAGGCCCGCGCTCAATCCACTGAGCTATGCCAGCCAGGGCCCCACCCCTTGGTTTTGTCCATGGGTCCTTTATAGTACTTCCTGAAAAGCTTTCCCCGAATTGTCCTCTCCCCCCTCCCCTCTGGCTATTGTTAGATTGTTCTTAATTTCAATGTCTGTGGGTATATTTTGTTTTCTTTTTTCTTTTGTTGATTATGTTCCAATTAAAAGTGAGATCATGTGGTATTTGTCCCTCACTGCCTGGCTTATTTCACTTAGCATAATGTTCTCCACTTCCACCCATGCTGTCCCAAAGGGTAGGAGCTCCTTCTTTCTGTCTGCCGCGTAGAATTCCATAGTGTAAATGTACCATAGTTTTTTGATTCACTTTCTTACTGATGGGCACTTAGGTTGCTTCCAGCACTTGGCTATTGTAAATTGTGCCGTTATAAACATTGGGCTGCATAGGTTCTTTTGGATTGGTGTTTCAAGGTTCTTAGGATATAATCCCAGCAGTGGAATTGCTGGATCAAAAGGCAGTTCCATTTTTAGTTTCCTGAGGAAATTCCATACTGTTTCCCACAGTGGCTGCACCAGTCTGCATTCCCACCAACAGTGCGCCAGGGTTCCCTTTTCTTGGACTTCTCTCCAACATTTGTTGATTTATTTACAATGGTTATTCTAACTGGTGTGAAGTGGTATTTCATTGTGGTTTTAATTTGCATCTCTCTGATAATTAGTGATGCTGAGCATCCTCTTTCATGTCTCTGGACCCTCTGTATGTCCTCCCTGGAGATGTGTTTGTTCAAGTTTTTTTTGCCCATTAAAAAAATTTTTTTTGTCTTCCTGGAGTAAAGTTGTATGAATTCTTCATATATTTTGGACATCAAACCCTTGTCTGAGGTATCATTGGCAAATATGTTTTCCATTTAGTTGGTTCTCTTTTCATTTTAATGCTGTTTTCTTTAGCCATGCAGAAGCTTTTTAATTTGATGAGATCCTGTTTGGTTATTCTTTCCTTTACATCCCTTGCTTTAGGGGACATGTCAGTGAAGATGTTGCTGTGTGGAATGTCTGAGATTTTCCTGCTGATGTTTTCTGCTGGGACTTTTATGGTGTCACAACTTACATTTAAGTCTTTTATCCACTTTGAATTTATTTTTGTGTATGGTGTAAGCTGGTGATCGAGTTTCATTTTTTTGCATGTAGCTGTCCAGCTCTCCCAACACCATTTATTGCAGAGGCCATGTATCACCATGTATTTCATTAAAAAAGAACTGAGATCATCTCCTGAGAACTGTTCAGGAGATGGCGACAAACTGAGGTGTGTGCACGCACGAACAGGCACGTGGAGAGCGTGAGACAAAGACCCACTGAGAGAGAAACAGAAAGGAGTGTGGAACCGTGGAGGAAGCAGGGACTTCAGGAACGTGCCCCAAATACACGATTTGACGTTTCCTTAAAAGCACCAGTATTGTTTAAAGGTTGTCCCAGACCAGCATGGAGTACAAGCTATGCGCCAAGAGTCTTCAATGCTCATGACAAGGATACACACGGTGTCACTAGACTTCTTGGGCAGAGGAGTTTTACTGAATGAGTGCTGCGGCCCCTCACCAAAGGCAGGTGGACAGGCTCTTCCTGGAGCAGGGACAGAGCAGATACAGGTGTCCGAAGGCCAAATGCGTGCGTCTGACTACCCTTCTCAGGCCAGCCCGCTCTCCTCCCAGCTCACTGCCAGCTGATAATGATCACAGAGCACACAGCGAGTCTGTCAGCCACTCCGCCCATATGCATTAAGCACCTACTATGTGTCAGGCCCTGTAGAAGATGCTAAAATATGGTGACTCAATGAAAAGAAGTTCCTGTCCTCACGGAGCTGGTGGTCCGCAGGGAAGAGTGGCAGGCCCCCCCGGGAGGCAGTGGCAAGGGCAGAGGAAATGATGGAGCATGCCGGCTGGTGTCGCTGCTCCGCCACCTACCTGGGAAACCTGATTCACCTCTCTTGTTGTTGCTTCCTGTACATGTACAATGGGATGATGACATGGGGAAGACCCTACTGGATTATGTTTGTAATGCACTTAAAACGAAGTCCCTGGCCCCCGTCAGGCCCAGTAAATGACTACTGTGCCAGTTACTCCCTCCGAGAACCAAGGGACACACACGAAGGAGCTGGGTCCTCTGCCCCGGCACACACCTAGCTGTTGGCTGGACGGGGCGCTAACACGCACCAGCACCTCACCTCATTTCTGTAGGACTTCTGGCAAATGCGATGGCCGCCAGCGTGCCCAGGTTAGACCGGAAAGTCCCAGAGCCAGCCCGCCTCCACGTCACTCACCCACTTCTAGTGACCTTCTCCTTTCTTCTGCTGTTACACGAACTGCTTCATTTCCGCAGTATTAAAGTCTGACATCTCCTCTCCTCCGATTGCAACTTCCTGTTCTTCAGCTCCCTTCAGCACTCACTTAGGCTGACCCAAACCAACAGTCCCAAACCCCAAATCGGGTCCTTCCGTGTCCCCTAGCTAAGTACCAGCAACAACCCCACAGAACTCTAACGCGTTAACTTTTATTCCTCTCTCTCCCTCATCTTCCACATCCAACAACTCCCCAAATTCCAACATGTCAATGTCGTTAAGCAGCGACCAGAGCCTCTCTCACCCAGTACCCTCTTCCCATCGGTCTCCTGTGCAGTTCTCCTGCTTCCAGGACTTGCCACCCTCCCTGTTCTCCAGCAGACAAAATGGCCTTTCTAAAACCAAGTCTGATCGTGTGACCCCAGTGGGCACTGTTCACGAATACCTCCCTGTGTCCTTCGGAAAATAACCAGACCCCCCAACACAGCTTTGGAGACCTCTCCTGAAGTAGCCGCCACCGACCTCTCCACAGCCGTACCTCCCTGCAACGGTCCCTCCCTTCCAGCCACACAATGTCCAGCTCTTCAGACCCAGTGTCTCTCCATGGCCTCTGGGTCACCTTTCATCTTGGCACTCATCCTCTGAGTGTCATGTGAAGTTCCACCACATCTTTCAGATGTTCCCTGTCCCCAGACTTGGTTAGGTCCCCTGGGTGGGTGTTTCTAGGGCAAACCTGCCCCTGCCCCTGCAGGACACTAACCCAACAGCATGGAGTCCCCTTCACGAGTGCACGTCTGTGACGCAAGACTACGGCTCTCTCCTTCACCACTGCACTGCCACGGCCGTGCTGTGCTGGTCCATAAGGTAGTATGGACCAGCAAGTATATGTTGAATAAGTGAACAAGAAGTTGATTCTTAAACCCTTGTACCCGATCCTCCTAGGTTTGCCCTTGAGATTCAGTTCCACGTCTCCAGCCCAGATGGCCCACCTCCAGCACCTGCACGGAATGTGTCCGAAAGGGGCAGAGATCGTCTTCTGCCTCCCAAACCTAGCACAGTGGAAAGAGCAGGAGCTGGACAGCAGGGATGCTGACGAGACCCCTTCTTTAGCCCACTAGCTATACAGCTTTAGACAAAGCTCTCTGGGCCTCAGTTCTCTCATCTCTGAAATAAGCACCGAAGTACCAACCTTACAGGAGTAGACAGGATACGGCTGAATGAGAGAATGTATGTGAAATGACTCACAGACGGCGCAGAAGCAATACATGGCTGCGGGGTTCAGACACCTGGAATGGTTTTTGCTTCCACCTTCCTCCCCCTGGGCCAGCCCCCATGATCCAGGCAGTCCCTAAATTCCGTCTCTTGACTCTGCCTGGTTTTCCGTCGGCCCCCATTCAGGCCCTCCTCACTGCCTTCCTGTATCACGGCAGCTTGGACGGGCTCCTGGCTCTGGTTTCCTCACGGCCCCACCCCCCACATGCTGACACCAGACCAGGCTTCCTACAGGAGATCCTACTGTCACTCTCCTGCCCCAAATTCTTCAACTGCTCCCCACAAGACTCGGGATTGAGTTACAACGTTTAGTTACATGACAGTCATGGCCCTCCCTCTCTGGCCTCAACAGACCTTTGCTACCTTATCTTCTCATTAGTCACTCTGACACACACTGTTGCCCAGCAACGCCAAATCAGTCACTGCCCACTCAGTACACTGCTACTTCCCACCCCTACCTCTGCCTCTGCTCATGTTGCCCTGGACTGGAACACCCGCCCTCAAGTCCTCACTGCCCACACAGCCTTTCTTTCAATGGCTGCCTCCAATATGCTCCTTAACCCATAAATTAGTTCCTGATCACCCTAGCAGCAGAAAACCTTTCTTTCCTACCATGTAGTGTGTTTCGTTTACTTCTCTCTCCATGGTTATAAACATTCTCTATGTTTACCCCAGTTTTCTCTGTGCACAGAACCTTAGCTCTGGGCGCAGCACCACAGCCAGGCCTGGGCCGTCATGTGCAGGAAACCGCCCCCGGAAGCGGTGCTGACTGTGCACAACTACAGGGTCCTGCTGAGGAGCACGGTGTCCAGGGTCCGCCATCCAGCAGCGTGGCCTCTGCTCATCAGCTTTCAGAACAGTACCTGGCACTGATTGGGTGACACTGCACAAATCACAGCTAAATGAGCCTATCCGCAAGGGAGATCCACTGTTGGCCACAGGACAGAAATTCTGTCCCTGTGAAATACAACACAAAAGAAGATGGGAAGCCTTTTCTCTCCTGCAATATACTTGAGAGATGCAGGCCAACTTCAAGTTCACTGTCTCCTACAAGCTATACAGCTATTTTTAGCAATAAACGTGACATGAAAGGCTTTGGTATACTTAGTATGCCAAAAGTACTACATTAACGTGAAAATAAAAGCAACTCTTCGAATTTTGGCTGGGTGGTTCAGATGGCTGGAGTGCTGTCCCACACACCAAAAGGCTGCAGGCTGGATTCCTGGTCAGGACACAAATCTAGGTTGTAGGTTCAATCCCTGGACACTACATGTACGGGACGCAACCGATCAATGCTTCTCTCTCACATCAATGCTTCTCTCTCTCTCTCTCTCTCGCTCCCTCCTCTCTCTCTGGAATCCATAAATACATGTGTGGGTGAGGATTTCTAAAAAAATCAATCTTCAGAAGTATCCTTTGGAGAAAACAGTTTTTCTAACAACGTCTAAAACCTTTTTAAGACCTCACCTTTCATTTAACCAAAACTTCTTTTGGTTAAAAAAAAAAAAAAGATGTCCATTAGAACAAACACCTTTTCTCATAAGACTTTCAACTGGCTGAGAATTAAAGAATTTCAGAAATAAACCCAATCTCTTCATTCTTAAAATAGAAGAGATTTGTCAGGACTCTCATATCCAAAATTCTGGTATTATGTAAGCTGCTTTATAAATCACACAGGCAACAGCTCTCGTCTCCCTCAGATTTTATTTTAACTCCCGCTGGGCTCCCACAGCACCACGTGAGCCTCCCTTATCGCCCCTGTCAGCCTGAAGTAACCCTCCGTCCAGGCCATGCGTCCCACCCGACTGCGTCCGCCTGGAGGGCCAGGCCCGTGACCCGGTCGTCTCTGAGTCTGCTGCACTTACTGCTAGAACACGGGCCGTGGCTCAGTAAACGTGCACATGAATCCGTGACTCCGGTCCGTTCTCGGTCCGTACACCCGGCATCAGACCTGACTGCTGACTCTTTCCTACTGTGGGCACTAAGAAAAGGGTAGCAGGCTCTGAAGGTGATGGCAAGCCCCACATTCTAATGTGTCCCCAGGAAAAATGGCGTCACTGCAGTGAAGGTTAAATTCTTCCCAGCTAACACAGTACCTCAAGGAGGCGACGTTCACTTGCATGTCTATGTGTCTTTTGCTATGTGAGTTAAAATTAATCACACTCTACCAGAGTCACACCTTTTAAATGTGCTTCGTTTAATCCACTTATTTAGTAGCCCTGAAATAAACACTGATGGGTAAAACCAAATTGATTTAAATCACACCTTAAAAAAGACAGTTATGGAAGTACCTAGTTGAATATGTAAAATTATCCCATGAAAAAGCCAAAAACACCTGCCTCTCAATTAACTGCTGAATTAACTCAACAATGTCAGTGTGCGCCCTGCAGTGGCCAGGAAGTGGTCCACTTGTCCGGCGCTACCCAACCACATGAACCGGGTGTCAGCGTCTCTGGACCTACGGGTACGCGCCGCTCTCCCCAGGCTCAACAACCCAAACACGCCCCACGTTCCCAGGACAGTTCATCCCAAGTTGATGACAAATTTGAAAAAATCTCCACATAAAATTACAGACATGACTCTCACATTTGGGCTTTCCAAATATGATGTGTGGGTTTACAAAAAAACATGCTTCCGCATCATCAGGAATTCCAAAAAACAGCATGTTCTGGGAATCCGGGTCTACTTCTCGGGGGAGGGGCTAGACGGGGTGTGTAAAGAGCCGAATCTTTCCAGATAACTGTTGACACTTTGCGTTAAGTATATAAAGAAGTGAAAGCAAAAATAACCAAGTATTTCAGAATTTTCCATTTACAATGGGACTTCTAAATCAAAAACAGAAAACGTTTCATATTTTCTTAAATACATCTAAAACCAGCACACATTCCCTCCATTTAAAGAGGAAGTAAGGGAGGAAAGAAAGCTCAGTCTTTTTATTAGATTACACTTTCAAAAGCAATTAAGCCGTGAACCCAAACTAACTAAATTCTCCCATAACCTCTTCTCATGAGAAAGGGCCTAAAAGGCTTATTATTATTTAACTGAAGACTAAACAACGTGAGTTATTTCAATAACTTGTCCAAGAAGCATCAGAAGACCAACTTGGGACATCTGTTAACATCCTTGTCCATAATTTCCCTTGAGATAATACATATGTATCACACTTAACAGGTGTCCTTGGTTTTGGTGAGAATAACATTCCTTTACATGCCCGCTGGATAGCTACTTGCTGCTGTCTTCTGATTATGCCCAGTGGAATATAAAATATTTTCATGATAAAGCAGATTCAATAAAAGTAAAATTCCCCCACTTTTCCTGCCAATAGTAAAAGGGGCAAAAACACCAACACGGACATTACGATACTCTCAGACGGAATTCAAGCAGTTCTAAATAAATCAATGCACGTTATAAACTTTTTTGGTGAAGTGCCTCCCATGCCTATGTTACTATTCATTCTGAGAGAGGCAGATCATCAGTGACCTTCTGGGTCACTGACTCAAGAGAAAGCTGACTCTAAAAAAAGAGTGGGAGAAAAATAAAGGGGGGGGGGAGTGCTTCCTTCCACCCCAGGCCCCTACTGCCTCGAATGAAAGTAGACGGATGGCAGCCATCTTCCCTTTAATTAGGAGGGGCGGCTCTGAAGGGGACTGCCCTGCTGACTTGGCACCATCCTTAATAAATCATCTCGACAGTGGTGCTCTGCTACTCACCCCCGTGTCCAACTGCTCTCAGTCTTGAATGTCTAAACTGAATCTCTGTAAACTTCACTGTGAAAAACTACAGCTCTGAGCACAATGCTGTAAGTAACAAAGGTACTTAAAGATGTTTGCTGAATTAATTCTCACTCCTTCACGTAAGGAGCCTGAGGTGTTCCAAATGAAATGGTGACGCCCCACGTCCTGTCACCGCCACTTCGAGATACAACGGAATGCTCATGGCACAGAGGCCTGGACTCAAATTCCCACCACACGTGGCAATGGATTTAGAAACAAGACCCCTGACTCTGCTCCCGCTGCCACCCTGCAGTCACCACCTCCTCCCACCTTCGAAGTGCTACTGTTTACGTGGTCAGGAAATTCTGCAGTAAGCGCAGTCCGTGTTATGAGGAAGGACACTTTAATCACAGATCAAACTACCCTGCACTTCTTTTTGTTTTGCATTTTCAAAACCACAGAACTTTGTATTAAAAATGTATCAAACCATGCAACACCTCTGGAGGCAGGATCAGCACATAAACACAAATGCAAAACGGGGGCCAAGTAGTAGAACTAGGCTGGCGTCACGGAATCTCTGCACGAGCAATACAGCCTCTTAATTACCTTCTAGAAGGTATTAACCCATTTCTATGAACCCACAAGGCACGAAACGTTCTAATGGGAAGGGGAAGTTGAGTTTCTGTTGATAAGGTGAGGTTCTTTATATATTTTATCCCATTTTTATATTAAATCGGTCTTTTTCCACATTATTAAATAATTTGTATTCCTTGGCTCTTTTCCATTCCCTGACAGACTCTTTTCTTTTTCGTTATTTTTTTAATTACAGTTTACATTCAGTATTATTTTGTATTAGTTTCAGGTGTGCAGCAGAGTGGTTAGACAATCACATACTTTATACAGTGTGCCCCCCCCCATAATTCCCTAATTCCGGTACCCATCTGACTCCGTGCATACTTACATGCTATTGATTTTGTTCCCTGTGCATCCCTTCCCATTCCTGTGAGTATTCTGCAACTGCTGATCTGGTGTTTAAACTACAGCTCCCTGCCCAGGAGCCCTTCCCACCGGGTTCTGCAGTTCCCACACAGGGACACTGTCTTTTCTATTTGTCCCGTGCGCTCAGCCCCCATCCTGCTTCCCAGTGAGAATAAGGGCAGTGAACTGGGGCTGTTTTGCTAGATGTGCTCCTGGCACAGAAAAAGCCCTGTCTGTGTCATTGTCATTGTCATTCAATTAATGGCAAAGTTCTCGAAGCATTTGAAATAAAAAAGAGCTTTTGTTTTCTCATTGATAATACATTTCAGTCTCTTGCTATCTCTTAACAAGCAAGCCAGCACGTTAGATACAGGAAGACAGAAAAGATCAAAGAAGCAATTAGCTATTTAACAAACTTCATATCCTCCTTCCCAACGAAGGGGAAACACTTGGCATTTGTCAGGTACTGGGTGTCTAATAATGTTAGCAAGAAAAAACATGCAGAGGAGTGACTAAGAAAGAAACAAACAAAACTTACTTTGTTTTCCAGAACAGTAAGCAGGTCGGGAACGAGGCGAGGGTAATTCCTTCCTCGGGGCCGTGCTTTCACTTTAAAAGTGGTGCCTGCGCTCACGTCCAGGTTTGCGTGGACTCCCAAATGCCCCAAATGCCTGCGTGTCCCCGGACGCCCTGAGTTCACAGTTGTCTCGAAGCCCCAAGGACCAGGAATCCCCGACACAAACAGAGGCGACCTCTGGGCGCCATGCTGGCACCACTCCTGTTGTCACCACACGCGCCCGGGACACCCGCCTGTCACCCCAGGAACCAGGCCACCAGCAGATAACTGCTCAAACGAGTGTCCAGAGGCTCAAGCCTGTGGCATTCTCAGGTTCAAGGTTGGAAAATGCATTAAGAACCATGCAGTCAGCACTATTCTGCGCCATTAACTTTCTCGTATTTAAGTGCTTATTTAAATAAGAGCAAAAGGAACAAAATTACAAGGGATGTTTCCCTGCTGATTGTGACTGACATCTGCTGGGTACTGGGTCCTATCTTGCCCCCTGAAACTGCATTTAAGATCAGAAGTATTTTGATTCCTCTGTAAATGCTGAAGATTTTTTTTTTGAGAAAATAAAATAAAAACAGAAAAACAGTGTAACTCTGCTTAAAAATGCAACCCTTACTAAATCTCATCTGGTTAATTTTTAAATCCAAAAATGTAAAAACACAAACAAACAAACAAGCTGAATGTTTGTTTTGAAAGTACTTCATCCATGTACTGCCCAGCCCATAAAAACAAAACTTCTCCCAGCAAAACGGGACACGTTGACCTTGTTTACAGCAGTGTTTTGAAACTGCTGTCTCGTAACTCCTGACATCACCGGCCCTGCATTAGCACCTCCGCTGCTGCTGGCTGCACAGGCGGCTGCCACCCCGCTGCCTTGCCTGGCCCCGGGTTGAACAGACACTCCACAGAACAGAAAGGACACCGGCATTAGCACGGAATCAGCGGAGCTCACGGGATACCTTTCCCAAGTGTCACATCTCTCTGATCACTTTTACAAGAAAACACAAGCATCCAACATGGGACACCGTTTAAAGCCTCAGTGTCCAGACCCAGTACAGACCATTCTTGCCTCTGACCCTCTCCCCTGCCCAAAGGAAAGGCCCCCCCGCTCCCCGATCGCCATGTTGGCAAGCATGTCTGCCACAGAGACCTACTAACAGGAGATCCTGACGACCTTTCTCTCAGTAAAAAATTCCCACAAACTTTCCTGGAGGATACTTTATTTCAGCATTTTTTAGTTTCAAACAGTACTGAAGTTTTAATTCTGAAAGTCAGATTTACCCTCCCCCCTGCCCCATTCTGTGGAGCAAGCTTGTGGTTCTGTACGTGAGTGCTGCATTTTTAAAGACATGATCGTCACCTGTAAGTCCGGCAGACTTCCCTTCTGTGTTCCTCAACTCTCAGTCCACAGACAGCAGAACCAAAGCAAAGGCCAGTTGTTAACACCTGTAGGTTCATCACCACCACCAGTTTGGGGAATAGCTCCCATAACCCATCTCTTTAAACAAAACTAAATCTCCACTGGTAGTGCATGTTACAGGGAAGTAACTAAAAATCCAAGTTTAACCTGTCTGAAATTAATTGATAACGTTCTTGTTCCTTTCTTGAAACAACTTAGAAAACACCAAGTCCTTTAACTCTAGTCATCAAGAAATAAAGAACATGAAATACATATCTGAGCAATGCTGGCCCTTGTTTGCCAGAGAGGAGTGAAAAGAAAGACATCCACAGTTAATAAAATTAATTAACACAAGCTAAAGAACTACTAAAAAGACCCTCCAAATATCATGCTGTTACTATGTTACTATGACAACTTCAAAACTGTTGTGGGAAAAACGCAAGGGATTTTAAGATCCATGACAAAACAAGTGTCATCCAGGCTGCTAGAAATTACTGTAACTTGTACGAGGCAGCAGAAATGCTAAGTCACCACCTGCAATTCCAAAATATCAAATCATTACCTTTTGAGAGATGCTGCGCTCCTCATTCAGAGCATGAAAAGGCTGACAAGTGGGTAGCGCTCTCTGTCATTGGAACTGTTCTGATTTCAGTCCTGTAACTGGACCACTCCCACGGTCTACCTCGTCAGTGCATTATTTTTATAATGAAAGCAAACTTGGACTTAATCTGAGAGGGACAGGGCAAAACAAATCCCTGACGGTCTCGTGTTTCCAAATATAAACAGGGAAGCACACACTCCGGTTTTTTAGGCATTGAGAGTAAAACAGAAAACGCACACGGCAGTTCTCCCTTAAAATTCCTGTTGTTAGGTATTTAGACTGATTTACATTTTACATAATCTGATGGCTCAATCAGGAAGTAAAAATTTTAAGTGCTTGTATTATGGACGGGAGGAATCACATGACCCACAGCAAAAAAATTTTTTTGCAGCAGACCAGCACACGAAGAAAAACTTAACAGGGTTTAAAAATACTGTCTTTAGGATTCACTGAGCCATGAATATATTATGGCTTTTGAGAAATAATAATTTGTATGAAAGCTTTGAAAATAAGCCCTCAGGACATTTAAAAAGTATTACGAGATCAAAGCAATCACGGTGAGAAATGAAAGTTTAATTAATACAAGAACTGTTTCTTTGAAGATCCTATCCATTCAAAGTTTATTTTTTAAAGGCCATTTTTCATGTTATTGGAAGATCGGGCCATACATAAGTGTAATCCAACAAATCACCAGCTGCAGCCACGTACAAATACCTCAGCTCTATCCGCCATGGAGAGCTGTGTGTTCCTGGAGCAAAGCAGCCAACTCTTTCGATTTACCCGGACTCCACAAAGGTCTACAGCGCTCACGCAGTTACGGTATCTTAGTACAGGAAATGCATTCTCAAGAGGAAAACATCAGGGCCACAAAATTTTCATCTGAGGCATGTAAGTTGTAAGAGGGTCATCATTAAGTAGTATCTGAATAATTCTTGCCTGATTTCTTGAACATAAACCTCAAAGTAGACACCTCGACTCCCTAATGCTACAAACCAGGCAACTGGAGGAGCTGACAGACTCTGCTCTGTCACACAGACCGACAGCTGACACCGGCCCCAAGATTTCTGACTTTGTTAGGCTAGGGCTTCCTTTCGCTACGCGCTGCCTCATGTCTATAACCTGAGGTTCAACTAAGTCTCTGATGAGTGGAGCCCTGGTTGCTGACCTTCGTCGTGAATAATTGAAATAGGGTCAAAACGCAGAGAGGCTCACTCTGGCCCACCCTCATTATCACCGGTGCTACCTCAGGCCCCCGCCCGCCTGTGCTGAGCATCCGACGTGCTGAGCATCCGACGTCCTGAGCTGGGAAGAGTCAGGGCAAGCTCTAGGCTGAGGGGTAATAAAGCTTCTGAGATGGTGCCGGCCCGTCTCCCCGGAGCCTGCCCCCCGACCGGTAAATCACAGCCTTCTCACGTTTTCACAGTGTGGAAATCAAGGCATTAAAATAAGAGAAAGCACTTACTGCCCTAGCTGGGTGGCTGGGTTGGTCGGAACTTCATCCCACATCCCACAAGGCTGTGGGTTCGATCCCAGGTTGAGGCGTGTACAGGAGGCAACCCATCAAGGTTTCCTTCTCTGTCTCCCTTCCTCTCTCTTAAATTAATATGTCCCCAGGTAAGCACTTAAAAGAAAAAAAAAAGCACCTGTTTTAGTTCATGTCATGGCCTTACTGAAATGTTGGACAAACATGAGAACCACATAGTATTCTAGAAAATAAAAAAAAATTAGCTCCTACTTTATAATCTTCACCAAAATTAACTATATGGAGATTTAAGAGTTAAGTGTTAAAAGGGGAAAAAGAAAGCAATTAGAAAAATTATTTATGAATTTGAGATAGGAAAAGTCTTAGCTTTATAATAAAAGTAATGAAAAAAGTTAACAGGTAATCTGGATCAACCTAACTACATTGAAATGCAAAATCGCTGTATGTCAGACAAAAAAAAGCAGCAGACAAACCTGAAAGGTAAACAGAAAAACAAAATACTCGCAACAGGATAATACACGTTATATGATTTATCAGCATAAAAGCTAAGTGATACTGAAAGACTACGCACCCCAAAATACAAAGGCCAATACACATGAAAAAGTGTTGAATATCACTAGCAAACACAGAGATGGACAACAAAAAGAGCAAAGCCAGCGAAGTGACATGAGACAATCATTTCAGGAAATCAGCAATACCTTTTTATAAGCCTCCAAACTGCTCTGACTCATAACATGTCTATAAATATCTCCGTAAAAACACAATCGCAGCTATACAGAAAGGTAACTGCAGAAGGACATCCTTCCAGTAACATAACACGGGGCACAATTCAAACACCCAGAAGTGGGGGGAGCATGTGGTCACATAAATTATGATAGATAAACTCCTATGTTCAAAGAGCGGTTTTTGGAGAAAATGACAGTGCAGATCACAATGTGCAATGTTAGGTGGGATGTTGCTGGGTGAGAGGAAGTTGGGGCCGGGGGAGCCAACGAATGGTGGGGCAAGAGAAGCTGATCTCAAAGGTGGCTAGAAAAGTATACATTTAAAAAGCTCTTTTAAGAAGGAAAAGACAGAGTTTTTAGGTTTTTTTCATTATGTCTTTATAATACTGAGATGTGTGACATTCTCTGGGAAACATATGATTTTTATAATTAGAAAAATGTGATTGAGGCAAAGGCATGTCCCGTAAAGTGTTTCTCGGTCACACAAAGTAATTAAAATATTTACAAAGCCCTTTAAAACAAAAGAATGCTTATACTTTATTATTAAGTGTGAGAAAGAAGTGCAAAACAATATGATCTTAAATATATAAAAATTCACATTAAAAAGACTGGAAGGATAGCCATGGCTGGCGTGGCTCAGTTGGTTAGAACATCTTCCCATACCCGGAAAGGTGGTGAGTTCGATTCCTGGTTGGGCACATGCCTAGGCAGTGGGTTTGACCCCTGATCTGGGTGCAGTCCAGGTGCACACCACCCCCAGTCCTGGCACCTAAGGGAGGCAACCAATCGCTCTGCCTCTTCCTTCCTCTCTCTCTAAAAAATGCAATGAAAAATGTCTCTGGCTAGATTAAAAAAAAAAAAAAAAAGACCGGAAGGATATGCACCAAGATGTTAACAGTGGTTTTCTTTAGGTAGTGTAATTTATTGTGTACAACATTTTTGCTGTATCTTACAAGTTTTCTACAATTGTCGTATGTTGTTTTCATGACAATGAATAAATATTAGTTTCACAATGGCAGGACTGACACACACATGAGGAAGATGCTATCACTCACAGTTAAACTTCAAAATACATTTTATGTCTGTAGCCATAAAATTCTGTCCGATTATAAAAGGATTTTTTAAAAATTTAGAAACCCCCAGTATGGCTTTAGAAACCAGCAGGCACTGGTGGGTGTGTGGGAGGTGGGAACAAATCATATTCTTAGCTGTCAAACTGTTTTCTCCGTGGAGCGGCTCTGTGAGGGTCACAATGAGACCTGAAGACCTCGACCGCAGGACGTTATTAGGAAAACGGTGAGGAAGGTCAGTGGGGGAGGGGGAGTGAACGACCAAAAGAGGAAGGCAGGAGTCCGTGACAACAACAGAAGCATCAAGACAGAAGATGATTCAAGAAATCACTGGGTCTAAAATAGCTGAAAGAAGGGTCTCAGAGAAACACACGTACCCCTGTGTTCACAGCAGCCACAAAAACCGGAAGCAACGCCAGTGGCCACCAATGGACGAATGGATAAACGAGATGTGGTCTCTCTACGTACAACGCCGAGTTGTTCAGCCTTGAAAGGAAGAAAATTCTGATGCTGCAACGTGAAAAGGCCTTGAGGACATGCCGCTAAGTGAAATAAGCCAGACAGAGAAAGACGACACATTGTATGATTCTGCCACTGACATGCAGTCCCCAGAGCAGTGCAACTCGCAGAGACAGAAAGCAGAACTGTGGCTGCCAGAGGCTGGGGAGAAGCGGGACTGGGGAGTCAGTGCTCAGTGAGTGTGAAGTTTCGGTTTTGCAAGATGACAGAGCGCTGGAGATGGATGACGGCGGTGGCCGCTCAACGCGAGGGAGCCTGATGCCACTGAAACACGCCCTCAAAAATGGTGCAGACGAAGTTTTATGCTCTATGTGTTTTGCCACAGTTAAAAGCTATGCACACACACTGAATACAGTGACATGAAGGAAGGAAGGAAGTCAGAAGTCCTAAGAAGGCCTTCTGGTGGCATGAACGAAAGTTTCAAGAATGGTGCAGGCATCAAAAGCAAACAGACCTTATTTCTGATACTAGATTCTTTACATGTAACTATAGAAGTCAGCTCAGAAGGAGAGGCAGTGAAAAGTGAAAATAAGAAGGGCATTATGTTGAACTTGAAGAGAACACACTAGACCTCTCTGTGGTTTTTTGAGACCTTTTCATTACAGCTTGAAAAGTTCCCCACAACTAGGAAAGAACCTGCAAGTCCAAGTAACATGACGACTTTCTCATCAGCTAACGGAAAAAACCCGTAACGATGAGGGGCACCCACCCTGGGCGTGCTCAAAACGCGCTCTATCCTTCTGCACTGTTACCACAGCACTGGGGGGCTTGGGGGCTGCACAGAGGCCTGTCCTGGAGCTGACCCGGGGAGAGCGCTTGCCCGGGCTCACTCGGTGATGCCGGCGTCAAGGCCTTGCCCCTGGCACACAGTCACGGTGCCCTGGCTATGTTTTATCTTGTAAATGGGTAGAAAGCATAACATAATCAGAATGCTTTTTCTACAAGCTATTTGGTTAATTGTTAAAAAATATTTATTGAGTACCCAGTGCACAGTACACACTGTACTCCAGGCACTGGGCTGGGCACCGGCTGGGAATGAGCAGGAGACCTCAAGCTCCCTCATCGAGCTGGCACTGACAGTGTGAAGGGGGCATGGGCACTGCCGGTGGAGCAGGAGGGGCTCTCGTCCAGTCCGGCTAGACTGAGGATGGAAACCCGTAAGAAGCACCACTTCTAATAATGCCAGTTTGTATCACCGCTGTGGCCAGCTGGACGGACCACTACTACGGGTCAGAGTTGTATGCACTTTCCAGGCACAAAACTGAATTTTCACTACAACCTTATGCAGCAGAATTTTTAAAGGTGAGAAACCTGAGGCACAGAGAGGTTCTTACATAGGCGGTGAAGGCGAAGAGCACCCCTGTTCAGAATCTGCTTCAAGAGGAACCCAAACTAGGACAAGACAGGGATGCAATTTGGGGACCAGAACATTCAGGAAAGAGCTGAGCGACTCTAAACAAGAAAAGGGGAAGGTAAACAGAGCAGAAGCACTACAGGTGCAAGACGCTGGGGCTGGGACACACGAACAGGTGACCAGGTGAGTGGGGAAGGGCGGAGGAGATGGGAGGGACAGGAGGCCCACGACGAGGAGCCCTGGAGGGCAGCAGGGTCTGACGTCCAGCGGGGACTGCCATCAGGCTCTGCTGTGCAGAGTGGGAAACGACCCTGTCCTCCACGTCCCCGTGAACTCGAGCGCTCTGCTAACCTGTTTGTGCAGAGGGTAGAAACACATACTCTGAAGGGACCCCAGTCAGTGTGGGTACAGGGCATCACAGAAACAGTTAAGCCTTTAAGTGGAGAAGTGACGAGACAAGGATGCTTCTTAGAAGCACCGCTGGGAATGCAGTCAGGGGAACAAACTGGGGAAGAACACAAACAGCAGGGGCAGGCTGAGGTGACGGTGACCATGGAGGGGACACCGGAGACAAAACAGATGGCCTTGAGGACTCCTGATACATAGAATTTTGATTTGGTTTCTTTGTGGATTTGGATGGAGAGGGAAAGGGGCCAAACGAGGCACAGATTTTAAACTTGTATAACTTGAATTGAGTTTGGAAAATGTTGGGTATGAGACGCCCACAAGTTATCAAAGTGGAAATGTCCAGCTGGCATCTGAATACAAAGCCAGGGGCTTCGAGATGGATAGAAAGAGCCTGCAAAGGGCAATGAGGAGAAAAACCCAGAGGGCAGGGCAGGTCCTGGAGGCTAGAGAGGAGAGTGCACTGCACACGCTGTCACTGCTGAAAGGTCATGGAAAACAAGGAGCCAAATGTATCGAACAAAGGTGGCAATGGAACGGCAGGAAGGCACCTGCCAGCCGTGGCCAGAGCCAGTATCAGCTGCGTCACAGGCCCAGAGCCAGCGGGGGGGGGGGGGGGGTTAGGAGAGGGCAGGAGTGAGGAAATGGAGGCAGCGGACACACCCAGTTCTTCCAAGACTGGCCCTGGCCATGGGGAAGGCCTGTGTCTTCTTTTTTTTAATTGACAAGACTTGAGTAGTTTTAAATGCTGCTGGAAAAAAATCAATGGCAAATGGGAGGCATAAGGTCAGAGAGAGAAAGTCCCTGAGAAAGTGAGAGGGTTGAGGGGGGCTTCCAGAGCCCTGGACACGGGGACAGCTCTTGTGCTGACACAGGAGGCTAGGGAAACAGGGCAGCGGCAGACAAAGTGTGGTGATGCCGCAGGACCCGCAGCCAGTTCGCCCTCCGGTGGGCTCTCTTCTCTGTGACGTGGGACGGTGGCTAGCTACAGCAGGTGAGAGGTCAGGTGGAGAAGTAAGAAAGAGAAATGCGTGCGGGAGCTGTGGGACATGAGTGAGGGCTGGATGGGGGGCACAGCCCCCACACAGGAGAAAGGGGTCCTGTTGAAGGCGTTTCTCATGTCAGATCACAAGAGCCACGCAGCACCACTTTGTGCATCTGGGGCACTTCCCAAACCATACTCAACCACATCTGCACAGCAAAGACCAACGCTTCCCATGGAATACGATGCCCATCTCGTGACCACGGGAAGAGAGCTCACCATTCACTCGATCATGCAACCTGGTCTGTCTGTGAAACCCAAGTATCACGTGTGAACTGGGCTTATGCCATTAGTATGGCATTAACAGCCTTCACACTTGCTCTGAGCTGGATTTTGTTTCTGAGTTATCCTTAACCCTTCTTGATATGCACACAGGACTACCGTGAGGGTCCGCTCTGCTTCCAAGGGCGTGTGGGGAGCACCAGGGGGAAAGAAGGTCACTTCGCTCGGACTCGGCTCCAGTTCCTGCTCTGGCCAGGAAACTGCTGGAGAAAGCAGAACCAGGGCCAGGAGCTGAGCACAACCGTGAAGTCCAAACGCAGGCGAGGGGGGGGCGGCATTTCAAGTGAGTGACTGCTGTCTTTTCTCTGAGCTAGCCCAGCACAGGAGGAGGAGAGGAAGATGTGAGGTTAAGGAGTATCTTTCCCCGTGAAGTCTTTATAAGAGATAATGCAGTTCCAGTAACCGTTATGAAGCACCCCCTGTATTTTCAGGGCACAGGTACCCCAGGGAGCTCAAGAGAAAAACCTACACTGCTCCACAGCTCCCTTTGGGAGAGAACGGGAATGCACAGTAACACCTGTCCCATGCAGCCGGCGGGGGTGTCTGCTACGAAGAGAGAGCGCTGAAGCATAGGACAGTGTAAATGTAATGGACTTTTGCTTTTCAGTTTCTTCTTTAAAAACATTCCCTTTTCTGTGAGCCTTTATTATAAAAGTAATACAGTAATCGCTGCCAGCCAACAGCTACGTAACACTCACCATGACCTGGGGACAGCTCAAGTCTTCTTGCCTTCTCCAAACGTGCGGCAGGCATATTACTTTCCTGGCTTTAGAGAAAGGTACAGAAGGGCCAGCTCCTTCCCTGTGGGGACCAGCAGAGCCGGGGGCCAGTCCAGGAGTCCAGCTACATCTCCACGCTGCCATACCACGAAAGCAAATTCTAAAAATGAAGGTGTCAAAAAGAGACAATCACAATCCGTTCTACCCCTTGAAAAGAATAGTTCTGGTGCGTTTCTTACTCTATTCATCCTTCACTTTTCCAATTAAAAAAAACCTTTTAAAATACTTTTTTATTATATTCAAATAAAACTATTTACAAAAACCTTTGCAAGTAAAGATTCTAGGCATAGACTTCCACCCAAGATGGAGGCATAGGTAGACACACTGTGCCTCCTACCACAACCAAAAGGACAACGAAAATCTAGAAACAAAAACACCACCTGATATGACAGAAAACTGAACTATACGAAAGTCTTGACAACCAAGGAGTTAAAGTAGACACATTCATCCAGACCAGTAGGAGGGGCGGAGTCAGGCTGCCAGTGGAGAGGGTCTCGGCAAAAAAAAGTGGTGGCTTGCAGACCTCGGGTGTGCAATATGGCAGCCGCCAGACCCTGGGCACACAGGCGGTGGCTGGCAGACCCTGGATGCATGGAGGCAACGGGAAGAGAGAGTGAGGCGCGCAAGGTGGCTGGAGGGCCGGGCGGTCCCAAGTTCGTGAGCAGATAAACCAGATAAAACTGGGGAGCAAGACAGACCGCGCAAACCAGGGTCCCAGCGTGTGGAACTAAAGCCTCAAAACACCAACTGAAAACACCCATGGGGGTTGAGGTGCCAGGAGAGACTCCCAGCCTCACAGGCGAGTTCACTGGAGAGACCCGCAGGGTCCCCAGATGAGAATCAGCACCAGAGAGGACCAGTTTGCTTGTGGGAAGCGGCTGAAGAGACTAAAATCTGAGAGAGAGCAGAGCAGACTCCGTCACCCCTCTCTGACCCCACCCCCACATACAGCATCACAACCGAGCAACTGGGTTGCCCCACCCTGGTGAACACCTAAGGCTCCGCCCCTCACACGTAATAGGTGCATCAAGACAAAAAAAAAAAGCCCAAACGGAAGAACAGATCAAAGCTCCAGAAAAAATACAACTAAGGGGCAAAAAGATAGCCAACCTATCAGATGCACAGTTCAAAACATTGATGATCAGGATGCTCACAGAATTGGTTGAATTCAGCCACAAATTAGATGAAAAAAAATGAAGGCTACACTAAGTGAAATGAAGGAAAATGTACAGGAAACCAATAGTGATGGGAAGAAAACTGGACTCAAATCAATGGAGTGGGGACCAGAAGGAAGAAACAACCAAACAGAAAAGAATGAAGAAACAAGAATTCCAAAAAATGAGGAGAGGCTTAGGAACCTCCGGGACATCTTTAAACGTTTCAACATCTGAATTACAGGGGTACCAGAAGAGGAAGAGCAACAAGTGGAAAACCTATCTGAACAAATAATAAAGGAGAACTTCCCTAATCTGGCATAGGAAATATACTTCCAGGAAATCCAGGAAGCTCAGAGAGTCCCAAATAAGTTGGACCCAAGAAGAAACACACCAAGGCACATCATCATTACATTAGCCAAGATTAAAATGAAGGAGAGAATCCTAGAAGCAGCAAGAGATAAGGGGACAGTCACCTACAAAGGAGTTCCCATCAGACTGTCAGCTGATTTCTCAAAAGAGACCTTACAGGCAAGAAGGGGCTGGAAAGAAGTATTCCAAGTCATGAAAACCAAAGACCTACAACCAAGATTGCTCTATCCAGCAAAGCTTTCACTTAGAATGGAAGGGCAGATAAAGTGTTTCTCAGATAAGGTCGAGTTAGAGGAGTTCATCATCACCAAGCCCTTATTATATGAAATGTTAAAGAGACTTATCTAAGAAAAAGAAGATGAAATACATGTACAGTAAAGTGACAGCAAACTCACAGTTATTATTAACAACCACACCTAAAACAAAAGCAAAAGCAAACTAAGCAAACAACTAGAAGAGGAACAGAACCACAGAAATGGAGATCTCAAGAAGGGTTAGCAACAGAGGAGTGGGAGGAGGAGAAGGGGGGAGAAGGTACAGAGAATAAGTAGCATAGATGGTAGGTAGAAAATAGACAGGGGGAGGGCAAGAGTAGTGCAGGAAAGGAAATGTAGAAGCTAAAGAACTTGTGACACATGAACTGAAGGGAGGGAATGTGGGTGGGAGAGGGTGTGCAGGATGGAGGGGAATGAAGGGGGAAAATGGGACAACTGTAATAGCATAATCAATAAAATATATAAAAGATTCTAGTCATAGACTTGTTTAAAGTCAGATCTATTTTTTGCATACACTATGCAAAAGTTATTAAAATAATTTTCATTCACAACCTTCTTCACATTACGAAAATTTTCATTCTTTACAGTAATATTTTTTGGCTGACCCATCCTTAATACAGTGAGTTCCAAAGGAGGCATTTTGCATCCACCCATATCCAAGTTTTCAAATAAAAAAAGCCAAGTTCAAATGCTTGCTTCTCTCTGAAGTTGCCCGCAGGCCCAGGCTGGACCTCACAGATCTGACAATGAATTTCTGTGCCGATTAAGAACGTTACATTTAACGTGGGAATGCTGGAACCTCTGGCAGCCTCAGCCGTCTCGGCTTTATAAACAAGCAAGAAATGCCCCCTGCAGCTCTGTGAGGGATCTTTGACGCAAGCGCCCCATGATATGAAAGTTCTAGACTGCCAGCCACCCGAGGCTCACTGAGGTTGACCAGTGTGAACTGTTGTTTGCTAGACTAGAGTGCACGCCACACGGGGCCGGTACACACACTCTGTAGGTCCCTCTAAAATGGATCCACGTGTACACGGACAACTGATTTTCAGCAAAGACAACAAAGCTGTTCCACAGGGAAAGACAAGTACTTTCAACACTTCAGGTTGGAACAACTGGGAAAACATTGACAAAAACACGAACTTTGACCGCTGCCTTACCCAGTGCACAAAAATTCATTTGAGATGGATCGCAGACCAAAGCATGCAAGTTAAAACTATAAGCCTTCTAAAATAAAACTGATTCATGTGGCTCAGTGGGTTGGGCACTGTCCCTCAAAACGAAAGGTCATTGGTTGGATTGAAGATCAGGGAACATGTCTGGGTTGCGGGCTCCGTCCCAGGAGGGCCCATGAGAGGCAGCCAATGGATCGATGTGTCCCTTTCACATCATTTCTCTCCCTTCCCTTCTCTATAAAATAAATGAGTAAAAACCATTAAAAAAAAAAGATAAAAGAAAACACAGAAGAATATCTTCACTTAGAAAACAAAAGTACTGATAACATAGGGGGAAATCTGATTATTTAAACTTACTTCAAAATGAAAACCTTCTCCTCATAAAAAGACATTTTTAAGAAAATGAAAGGTAAGTAAGCCATAGACTGGGAGAATATATCTGCCTTCCAAATTTCTGTCAAAAATTTGTATTCAGAATATACAGACATACATTCTACCAAACAGTAATAATAAAACAATCCAATTTAAAAATATCTGAAGAAAGTTAAAAACGGGCCAAAGATTCGACAGGTACTTCCAGAAGGAAGACATACAAATGGCCGATAAGAACATGTTAGTCATGAAGGAAATGCAAATCAAAAATCACAATGAGAGACCCCTTCACATCCATGGCTGTGAGAGACTCCTTCACAGCCACTGCCAGCATGGATTTAAAATTGTACAATCACTAGAAAATTGCTTGGAAGTTTCTTATAAACATAAACATACACCTATTATGTGCTCCAGTAATGAAGCCTAAATCTAAAAAAGGAATGAGAATAAGAACTCATTCACAGCAGCCTAATTAATACTGGTAATAGCCGAAAAGCTGAAAACAACCCAAATGTTTGTTCATTTGAAAATGGATCAACAAATTAGTCTGTTCACATTAACAGAATACTACCCAGCGATAAAGGAAAAAGGAATGACCGATACACGCACTATATAACTGAGTGTGAAAGAAGCCAGACACTGGAGAGTACTTGCTCCATGATTTGTTATACAAAGTTCAAAGAGAGGAAAAATGATCTATCGTGACACAAAGCAGAAAGTGTGTGCCGGTGGGGGTAGAGGCTGACTGACTAGGGGTGTGAGCGGACTTGGCTGAAAGGAATGTCCTGCTCGTTAACTAGGGTTTGGTTACGGAGCGTACACCCAACACCGGTGCGCTGTACCGCTTGTACATCTAACATCGATTAGAAGGGAAAGCTGGCAGGGCTCCCCGTCCTCACACCCTCACATCCTCCCGAAGAACGGGATCTGCCTGGCAGTCCTGACCCCATCCAATGGGGACCGTGTCTGAATGGCTTTCGGTCGGATGACTCTCATGGCCGTCCTCATTCCTTTTCCTCTGGAGGAAAAAAAGGGACTTGCCACTTTTGTCATCTAACAATGACAGTCAACTGTCACGCCAGGTGCTAGAACACCAGGGCAGGAGTACCCTAAAATCCCACAGTCTGAGTGTCCTTTTAGGCCAGTAATTTTTTTCAGTGGACAACTGACCATCTACACCCAACATATTCCTCACCTCCAGCTGGTAACAGGAGAAAGTGGATTTGGGCAGAAGGGCACCTGGCACAGGCTGATGGTGTTTCTTCTGGCCAGAAATAAAATTGCAAGCGTGCTCTGCTTGCCCCGGAGCTCACATCCTTGGGGCTCAGGACTTTCCCTGTTCTCCTCCGTATCTGCTGCCAGGGCCATGGTCTCCCCAGGCCTTTGATCCAGACCCGTCCTGAAGGCTGTAGGCCAGTAAATAACCTACAGGATACAGAGGTCAGATACCAGGGCATCTTTACTTTCTTCAACTGCCTCTAAGCCATTACATGAAGGATGATTAATACTCAACACTACTACTTTGCAAAGTCCAGGGAAAGATTTGGGCTTTTATTACTATACCAGAGATTGGGGTAGTCCTAAGAAGAGTCTGCTTCCGGTTCCACCATGTTGGGGCAACTGGCTTCAGACCTATGGCGACAATCACCAGTGGTTTTTTCACAGGGGAAAAAGCTACTTTTCCTAAGTAAAATGAGGGAACACTAAGATTGGAAACATCAATTCAGAGTTTCTTCTGAGACACAAATGGAAGCC